CAGATACGAAGTTGAAAAAGTTGGGAATCAGGAGGGACCAAAAAAGACTACGACAGTGGCTGAGAATATGAAAAGATGGACTTAAGTATTCGAGGTCGAATAATATGTCAGGACGGCCGATTGTAGGATAGGACTTAGATATATGGCAACCATCATTAAAGGGACAATCGACTAAGTGAGGCGGCAACCTTGCAACTTGACGAAATAAGACCGAAGCGTCCATCAATAGGTTTAAGAAGTAGAAAGTAAGAATGTAAGAGTTAGTCGAAGTAGAGAAGTTAGCCGAACTACACGCCATTGTAGCCTTAGCCGTTTAAGTGAAATTGAATTAAATAAAACTGTTTTTGTAAATTATATCTAAGTACAATCGAGTGCGTTTTAATTGTACTACATCTATTTAAGAGTTTGACCAACCATCCCTTCGATGACAGGCAAAAGCCCTGGTGCAGACAAATCCCGTACCCCGTTCTAAAAAATCATCCGTATCCCATCAAACATAGAGTCATTAAACTCCATAACTACATTTTATTTCAAGGGTTATATCATCAAGAGTGGGAAACTGCTATTATTATTCCTATTGCCAAACTAAATACGCTAATGATATTTTAATTTTTTCTAAGACTGAGGACTTGACGCAAGTAAAAATTATTTTTTCTAACATACTAAACGATCTAATCAATTGGTCCAAATCTTCAGGAGCTCAGATTTAAGCTGAAAAAGTAATTTTTTCGCATATGCAGAAAATACAAATAAATACATACATCCAACCCTCTCCTTGTCTAACACCCCTCCCCTATACTGATACATTGAAAATATTTGGATTGATTTTTTACAATAAACCTACTTTTAAGCAGAACTGTCATTATGTAAAAGTTGACTTTGGGCTCGTAATTTATGGACACTGCGCAAAAAAACATCTTAAATTGCTAGAAACACCTTACTATGTAGCAGAGGAGAAAAAGCATCCGTGCATTTCCCACCTCGCCAATAAAAGCTATCTCTCACGTCGAATCCTGCTTTCAACAAAAAGACTGATGTAGCAAACACCTTTATTTCGTATATTAAGCTACATCAAAGATTTCGACATCATCCGATGCTTACTAAAGTAAAAACTCTACCGCAAGGGCATTTGCCCAGTTTGATACTCATAAATTACCTGGGAGCTTATTTTCACAGACGGTTCCAGATATGGTGGTAACAAAAGGGCTGGGTGTTACAATTGTCTTCAGTGCTTTTCCCCCGTACTGCTCGGCATTTACAGCCGAATCAGCTGTACGTTTCGCCTCTATAAACGAAGGAAATTTCCTCATCTGAACGGACAGTAAACCAGCCAGCGAAACCTCTTTTAATAGTGCTAATGATTCTCATATAATTTCGAAATCACGTGAAATACTCTTTTGACACAATAACACAATTAAAATTATGTGGTTACCTGGGCACATCGGAATAGAAGGGAACGAATTTTCACACCTATGATTTCTGCATTAAAATCTTAGTTTAACATAGTATTTACGTCTAAAGAACTGACATTTTCATTATTCTGCCAAACCCTTTATCAGCAAATTTTTCTATATAAATAGTTATAATTCGAATTGCAATAACCTCTATCTGATCTTTAAACTAAAATTAAATGAATTAAAAGTAAAAAACTAGTTTTAGTATATTGCGTAAATATTTAAGACATGCGTATGTACTTAAAATTATTAACACTTTTAAAAACAGCTGACAAACCAGTTTTTTTGCTCTCCTGAAAAATTGAGTTTTTGCAGATAGAGGGTATTGTCTATAAGCCCTCGGTATATTTACTTAAGCGAATCAATTTTTTACATCAAAGATTTTTATAACATATTTTCTGNAAATATTTAAGACATGCGTATGTACTTAAAATTATTAACACTTTTAAAAACAGCTGACAAACCAGTTTTTTTGCTCTCCTGAAAAATTGAGTTTTTGCAGATAGAGGGTATTGAATATAAGCCCTCGGTATATTTACTTAAGCGAATCAATTTTTTACATCAAAGATTTTTATAACATATTTTCTGGGAAGTAGAAAAAGTGGAAGGTATTTTATGTACAGATATGTAAACAAAACTACTAAGTATCTTATTTTTTCTATCGGTTTCCAAATATTTCTTTTTTTACTTTTCTCTTATCAAAAGAGTTTTAATGTGTACTATTTTTTTTTTTTGTATAAAAACAAAAGCTTATCTAACTTTGTAGTATTAGCAACGGGATTTTTCGTGCTTATTCGTGCTTTTATGAAATTTTACTGAACGCCCATGCACGCACGAGTTCGTGCTGACAGCAAATATTCCGGCCCGTACCCGCGGGCTTACGCAGGGGCCCGTGCCCATCTCTAGAACGAACTGTGCACACTCCAATAGAAAAACTGCCTTTTTAACACCCTTTTATTAATTTCACCTGTATGTTTGTATGAATGAATGTTTGTAACCGACTCCTTTGGAGACGATTTTGACCCACTTTATACGGACACTTATCAAGAATCAGCGACAATATAATAATTTCATAAATTTATCTCATTATCCTGATTAGGATCGCCAGGATTAAATAATTTCCTCACACAGCCTCTGTGTGAGAGCAAGTGAGACAACTACGCTGTTTCACCTGTATGTTTGTATGTATGTATGTATGTATGCATGTCCCTGCAAAAAATGGGACTAATCCGGGATGACTCCGGGAGCAATCGCAAAGGAGCATGCGACTAATACCTCTTTTGATCTCTTTATATGGAATGAACTGATCGCTTTTGTTCGAGCATGTCCTATGAAGAGACTAATTGTTCACCTTTATACCCGAAAGGGTATAAAAAGCGAATAGTCACTTTTAAAAAATAAAAATTTTCGCCAGCTGAGATTCGAACCGGGTTGCTCAGTTTTGTTAGGCGAATACTCTCTCTGTGTGCCATTTCATTGGCGCGTATTCATAGTCCAGCAACTAAGTCGAAAGTAACCAAGTTGCAACTTAAATTTAAGTACCAACTTAAAATTTACCTTTATTCATAGTCGCATTTCAGACTTCTACTAAGTCGATATTTCTTTACGATATTTTGGAAANCTAGTTGGGGACTAATTGATCTCCAATTATAAGGGATGAGTCGAGACTAATTGAGCTCCATTAGTACCCGTATGAGACTAGTTGCGACTAATTAATGCCCAATTGTACCCGATTGAGAGTAATCTCGGAATACTCTCTTTAGAGATTAGTCAAAAAATTTTTTGCAGGGGTATGTATGTATGTATGTATGTATGTTTGTAACCGACTCCTTTGGACTCGATTTTGACCCACTTTAAACGGACAGATTTAATTCAAACTTTGTACACTTATCAAAAATCAGCGACAATATAATAATTTCATAAGTTTATCTCATTATCCTAATTAGGATCGCCAGGATTAAATAATTTCCTCACATTTGCCTCTGTATGAGAGCAAGTAAAACAACCACGCTGTCTGCGTATGCGTACCGTCTACTTACTTTCCGGCTCGAGCACTCTAGCATTTAGAAAAAATTTTATTTTTAACAATAATCGAAGTAAAAAATTAAAAATAAATATAGTTTAAAAAAACTAAAAAGCGCGCTTTTAAAGCATATCAAACTAAAAAGTAAAAAATAATTCTTAATATATGCTGAAAATAGTAATGAACAAAAAATAGTAGTATTATTGTGAAAAAGCGTGGGGTGCTCTTTGCCATATTTTTCGTCTATCGAGCAACCCACACTTTTTCACAATAATACTAGTATTTTTTTCATTATTATTTTCAACTTATATTAAGAATTATTTTTTACTTTTTAGTTTGATATGCTTTAAAAGCGTGTTTTTTTAAACTATATTTATTAGCTTTTCTCTCTGATCGTAAGGAATTTTTTTTTTGGCTTGGAAATTTCAAGAATTTGATTAATTGAAACAATTATTTAAAAAAAATTCAGTACAATGAAGAATGACAATATCAGTATCAAAAGATAAAATTTAAAGAAAATTAGCTGGTTTTGTGCAAAAGGGTATGAAATTGTCCTTTTTACTTTATTAGATTAGAATAAAAAAACAATATTAAAAATTTTCTCTTTACTGGATGTCTCTACTATTAGTCTATATCGCACTGAATTTCATATCCTTGAAGGTTCAAAGTTCTTGATAATTAATTGGCAATTCATTTGTGTCAAATTCTCTATGCAACCCCTGCTAGGCATGTTTAATTTTGACTAGGAGGTATGTTTATTGAACAAAGAGCAGTCAGCTGCTTGTTTCTGGTCCTCTTTTACAGCTGATATTCCATCAGGGATGGAAAATTAAATTACAAAATTGTACCTAATTTACGGAAAACTTTAGATAAAAGTATATAGATGTACCTAAAAAGTAAATATGTATTTCTATATAAGGAAAATAGGAGGATAACAATTCCCATCGATACTATATCAAGTTCTGCACTCACATTAAACAAATTTTGGCTATTCTTTTCTCTTCGAGCAGCGCGAAACAAAACTATGTTGTAGAAATGGTGAATAACTTTTCTCCCAGTTCTTCGATCTGACGTTTTAAAAAGAAATATTTTCCGTTTATCTGGCGAAATCAACTACAGTTGCGTTACTTTGACCACCCTTCTGTATCATTTGTATGTTTCTTCACAAATTATCAGACTAAAATTGCAGGGGCTAAAAAACTGTGTACTCAAAAAAATTCTAACACTTCCGAGAAAAAAGTTTGAAACTTAGGTGAAAATTTGTTGCACTTTTTTGAAGTCTTCTACCAATTGTTAAACTTGGGTTTATAAGGGGTTTATTAGAGAAAGAACTGTATTTTAATTGAAAATTCTTAAAAATAAATAAATAAACATAAGTTGCACACAATATCACTTTGAAATGGTGTGCTATAGATATGACCGATACTGTATCTGTACGTATTGTTTCTTATTTCAACAAAATATTATAATTTTATGTATGAGTTTAGGTATATAAATACACACATTTGCTTCATATTTTTCAGGTACAATTTCAATTGTCTTTTTGCGTGGGCAGTCGGTGAGGATGATAAAAATTCTTCCCGCCATGCCATACAAATCGATCAGGGTGGTTTAACACTGCCGACACCTGACTATTACAACAACAAAACCGAAATCCACCGCAGAGTCTTAGACGGCTATATAGAATATATGACGAAAGTTTGTGTTCTACTGGGCGCTGTTGAATCAGACGCCCGTCGCCAGATGGAAGCAGTGATTGCGTTTGAATCGAAATTAGCGAACATTTCAATGCCACTTGAAGAACGTCGTAACGAAGAAGCTATGTATCATCCGATGAATTTGGTGGATTTAGAAAAAATAGCACCATTCCTGAACTGGACTGAACACTTTGGCGACGCAATGCTATTAGTAAACCGAAGAATAACGCAGGACGAAATAGTTATCGTTTACGCTCCGGATTTTTTAAAGAAATTGTCAGCAATCATCATTGAAATGGAGAAAACAATCGAAGGAAAAATGTAAGTAGACCAAGAGAGCACGCCTTCAATCTTTCAAGAGTAGACCAAGAGAGCACGCCTTCAATCTTTCAAGAGTAGAATTAGGCTTTTTGCACATTTGTCGTCCAATCATAGTTGTGTTATCCTCTCGACCTCAAATTTTGAGCTGCGCACATGTATTTCAATGGGGCATGCACCAGGGTTGCCAACTTTTGCATTCTTTAAATCGGGACGCACAATAACTCTGTTCTTTTGCTCGTCCGAAGGTGCCCGAAAGTGCCCAATTTGTGTTTCTTTGGTTGGTTCTCGGGCTGTTGAAGGCAACTTTGAGCGAATAATATTTGCTTCTCACTAGCCCGTAGTCGGCCGGACTATTTTTCAAACTGCCAGAAGAAGAGGAAACATTTTAAGCATTAAAATTTTAGCTAATAAATATGTGCATATCGATGGCTGAGTGAAAGATCGACCTATCTGGGAAGCCCGTTCGAAAACACCCTATTACACAACCATTTATTTCAGAATTTGGTTGAAGAACGCTCTATTTTAGAATTTGATTGCAAACGCCTTATCTCAGAACTCAGGGTGTTTTTCAATAAAGTTCTGAAAGAGGGCATTCCTCAATTTCATTCTGAAGTATGGCGTTCTTTAAAAGTTTTCTGAGATAGGGCGTTTTCGAACTGGCTGCCGAGATAGGTCGATCAGCCATCGATATTTAGCTGTTTTTCTTTCTTTTTATAAGGGGAATCAAATGAGCAATTATTAAAGTTATTGAGTTTGCTGCCGCTCAAATCTTTTGTCTTTTTTAGTAGTTTTGTGCGATTTGACATTAAGAGCCCTTCCGTACGTGCCGTCCGTTTCGATATATGAAATTGCTTTTGATAGAGAGAAAGAGATGCAACGACAACGTCATCGTCATGCAGCGGTGTTTTCGTTAACACGAGAATCCCATAAGATAGGCCGTGTCAGCTGACACTGTCTACGGTTTTACGTCGGTGGCTGGTTGTGCTCTTAATTTTAGGCACGAACATTTGTTTTTTGTGTTCCCGTGGTTTTGGGCAGTTTATTCACTTTGGTGAGAGCATTTCGTACTTAAGCCCCCATGTGGAGGGAAAGATGCATACAAATTTTCTATAGTTTAAGATAATAATGTTAAACAATATTTTAAGATCTCAAATATTTAAGATCTCTTTTGAGAGATAGTAGTCGAGGTTTAATTTAAGCCAGGTTCCATCACCTTTTGCTTATTTGTTTTTTTTTTTCAAAATCTGGAACTGATGGAAACTTTATGCCGTACCACCATATATGTAATACTTCTATATTGGTAGTAAGCTAACATTTCAATGTGTAAGCATTCCGAAATCAAAGCGAGACAGTCTAGTACCGTTTTTATAAATGTATTGTGTACTTGAGTGCCGTTTTTGTAAATGTGTCGTGTACGTGTTTATTTATAAACGTGTGTGTTCCTTTTCTTTCGTACGTGTTTATTGATATATCTGTACTGTAGTGTTTTCGGACGGTACTAGCTCTTACTGCCAATATAGTAGTATTACATATATGCGTACCACATATATTTTTTATGCTTTTGTTGGCCTGCGTTATCCATTTACCAATGAGAAAAAATTCAGATTTCCGTTTTTTCTACAGACATTTTTCCTTATGTGGTCAATAACACCCTTCGATCCCCTATGTAGTTATAGTTTAACAAAATAATTCAATGAATATCATCGTGCATGTGCAGTAGACTGCGCCTTATTTTTCAACTTTGTCCTACAAAGCAAGACTCCCCCCAAAAGGGTTCATTTGGTCATAAAAACGTGACCTGCGAAAAAGTTTTAATATCGGATAACGGAGAGACGTGCCTCAAAGGCCCTAAAGTTTAGCAAATTCATGGAATTTTTCACAAAGCGGTCAATATTTTGCCGTAAGTCAGTGGGGAATTTAATATATTTTAATGGCACTTGATGAAGTTTTGTCCCCCGATTTCAAAAATAGCTACAGTAATTTTAGACTTATTAAGAATTTTGTTTAAAACTCAACGATCTTTTGCTTTAGACAAATTGTTATTGTCAGTGTTGCCAAGTTTTGAATTTTAAAAAGCGAGGTTCTTTATTAGCCTCGTTTGCTGGCGAGAAGCTGAAACACAAAGCAGAAAATAAAATGAGTTTGATCGAAAAATATATACATATGTATGTATATGTATATTTCCAAATGTAGAGGATGTAAGTGGTTGCAGTCTGGAACTGAAATTTGTTTGATTACAATGAAGTTTAACTACATAGTTTAAATCTACACTGCAGTCTCTTATGATCTCGTTAACTAAAGGAAAGTAAAGACATTTTCTTTCCGACAGCTTAACATCTGAAATAGAACGATATTTCATTTCCCTATTTAATGTGTCTTATTTGAGCGTATTATCCACTGGCGCATAGTGGGGAAAAATATTTTTGTGTTAAAGAACGCTGTATACTCTTCAAATTCCACCTGGTTTCGATTATTCTCTTTTTTCAAAAGGCTCGTCAGATAATAATTTTACTGTTAGGAGATGCTGTTGCTTTTTTGAATAGTCGTAAAAAACTATAACAATTTCAGCCCAAACTAAAGGTCCAAAGGTCGCTTCCTACTCCCAGCATTGGCGAATTACCGAATGTAATTCTGGCATGATTGAAAGCGCTGCCACATATTTTGTATGTTGCCACATATGATTGTCATTGTGACATGGTTTTGTTTCCATTTTTTAAAGTTGCTTAAAAAACTTACGATTGCTATAAATTTGCCCCTCTTTTTTAAGATTTCCAGATTTGGTGTCTTAAAACCAAAAACAAAAGCACCAAGCACTAACACAAAAATTTTCGCGTTGTGAATAAAGAAAAGCTCTAAATTTAGTGCGAAAAGCACCAAGTGGCAACAGTGGTTATTGTGCTGTATATAAAATTAAAGTCGCAGATAAAAACTAAAATTTTCTTCAGATCCCCAAAAAATGGAAGTGTGGCTAGCGTTTACTTTACTGTCGCATTTCACGAGCTTAGCTAGCGACGCACAGTGTTGCGTCCCCATATGTAGCGGAGGGAAAAATACTAAATATGGTTTTATCTTCATGAAAAAGGTATAGCCAATCCTTCTTCTGTGATTCCTTTATTCCTTTATGCCAACTCATTTTTTTTATCCCCGTTGGCCCCGAGAATTTCCCAGATGTGGTGGAATTCCCGCACTTGCTAATTCCATACCAAAAAAACTAAAATTTTGTATTTCAGTTCCTTGAATTTATTAACGAATGTACATACATACAGTGACGAGCAAAACTGTAACATGGTGTAACACTTTTTATTTTAGCCACCGCTATCTTTCCTAGTTGTAACGACTTTCATACTTTTGTTGTATATTCTTATTGGTACACCGCTACTCCCTCTCTCATAAAGATTTGAACTCTATCCAACAACAATAATAAAACCTGCAGGCAAAAATGTAAATTAACAGTTTTGCACTCACTCACAGTATTGCATTTTATAGTTATCTTTTAATTTGTTGGAAGTCAGATGACTTTTTTCTGTATTGTAATTTATTCAAGAAGCGATTACTAGTAAATAATATGGTTAATCAGGAAACATAAATGTAAATAATAGATTTACTGCGGAAAGGCGGGACCGTAGGAAAAGTGGCAAAAAATTGTGGAGTTCGCCACATGAAAATGTTAAGACTGAGAAAAAATATAGCCTAAAGTGTTACTAAGGACAAAGGAAGTCGGCAAAAAAATATTACGGTCCGATATCTTGTGAACATAGTAGCAAGTAGCGCTGCAGCCACTATTACAGAAGCGCTTAGGGTATTAAAATTGAAAGCAAAGCAGTAGACAGCTAGGTGAAGAATTGTCAAATTGAACGCAAAGGCATAATAAAAGTAGAAAGACCATTTTGATCAAAATACATGTGCGAGAATGGTAGCATTTTGCTGGATCGCACGAAAACCGGACCGTTGCCTATTGGGATATATTCGGCCTTACAGAATGCAATAAAAAACGCATTTTTAAGATTTAATTGAAGGTTTGTTGGTCTCACAAGACTTAATTAATCGCTTTCAATCAGATGGCCGGGCATGGTATTGGATCAAAGACCCAAATTAAGCCTAAGCGCATCATGCAAGGCAAACTGTGAATCACAGTGGTCAGTCAATAATAGTTTGGGGTTGTATTTCAAAAATTTTTTTGGTCCGTTAGTACGCATTATGCGTAAGGAACAGTAGCTGTTCATATTTCAACAAAATTGGCAAGATGTAGTCGAAAAATGAGAGTTTCTGCTGAAAAATCACCCAAAACACACTGCACATGTTCGCAAAGACTGGATGCAAAAGCAAAAATTTGCTAATTTGAAATGACCTCCACAATCCGCGGATATGAATCTCGTCGAAAATTTTCCATATCAACTAAAATCGCAGCTTACTCAGTATCCAAGTCCGCCAATGGATACATGAGCTGTGAAAGCAAACCAAGGATCTATCTCCAGAATTTTTACAGAGATACACTTAAGGTATTCCAAATTGCATCCAGAAACTAAAAAAACAAATATGCACCAATGTACCAATAAGAATATACAACAAAAGTATGAACGTCGCTAGAACTTGGAAAGAAAGCGGCGGCTGATATAAAAAGCGATACACCATGTTACAGTTTTGCTCGTCACTGCACATATGTATAAAATCAAAATAACAAAACAAAAAACATATAATTAGTCCGGTCAATGTAGACATTCGAGGTTACAAAAATTCCCACCCAGCTGAAAATTGGTAGGATTGTTCAAAACACCATCATAAATGAAATCTAAAAAGTCCTCATCGATCCGATACCTGGAAAAAAAGTTACTCGGGGTCAAAGGTCACAAAAACGGGTTTTTCGCGATTTTCAGCAAAACGGTAAGTATATCATAAAATTAGTTTAGACAAAAAGTGTAGGTCAGATAATTATCTATAACAAATGTCTAAATACTTTTTGTCCTAAGAGCCACCGTTTCCGAAATATAACGATTCGGGTG